GGCCGCACGCCCGTCGCGGGCTGCAGCACTTCCTGGAAAGCGCCCGGCGACCTGCCGCCCGGGTCGGGCTGTGCCCTGCTTCTGCGGGGCCCGGGGGCGCAGCCTGCGGGGGCGGGGGGCGCGCTGGGCGGGAGGAGGGCCTCGCCGTGAGGGTCTGTTTGGGGCTGAAAGTGGTGAGTGAGCTTGGCGTCTGAGCGGTTGTCCCGCCTTCACCTTCCCGGCGGGTGTGTGTGCGGTGTTCGAAGCACAGCGTTCAGAAATGATCCGTCTCCATTACAAGCCTGCGCGGTGCCGCGAGCTGCGGGCCTCCGGCGGATTCCGCCCTGTTCCACAACGTCTTTGCAAACTACTGACAGTGGTGTGAAGGGGAGAATAGTGAGACAGTTTGCCGTGGCTTCGTGTTAGTGAGTGTAGTGAAGGTTTTCAGGTCTTTCAACAGTGGTTAGAGTTTATCCAGATGAAAAGGTTAAGTTCAAAAAGACAGAAGCAGGCCAGATATGGTGGCATGCTGCAATTTCACCACTTTCAAGGCCTGAGGCAGGGGCCCAGGAGATGGCTCAGTAGAATAAGCACTTCCCTGGCAAGCGCAAGGGTCTGAGTTCAAACCCAAGGAAGGAGAAGGACTGAGGCTGGAGGATCACTGACAGCCTGAGCCACGTAGTGAGGTGAAGGCCAGCCTGAATTAACACAGTGAGACCCTCTTTCAAAACAACCCAAGCCAAATGAAAACAAGACAAAACCAACAACAAAAAAGACACCACCAGTTACTAATTAAAATCAAAAGTGCTGGGTTGATGCTAGCACACATACTATCTCTAGTTCCACTGTTATGTAAGCCACTACCTTTCAGCTGTATAGATACCACGTATAGATACATCTTGGCATTATGCTTATTAGCACAGAATTTAGGTTTTAGATCTTTGTAACCCACTGTTCTGTCTAATAAGTGGATCTAGAGGTGTGCACCCTGTAATCCTACCACTTTTGGAGGCTGAGGCAGTAAGATCAGAAGTTGATCCCAGCCTGAGCTATTTAGCGATTTGCGCAGGCTGTTGATTAGAGTAAAAATACTAGGCATGTACTCAGTGTAAAGGCCTTGGATTATGGACCTAATATGGGGGTGGGGAAGGGTGGTGAGAGCTCAGATATTTTTCCAAGTTTCCATTGCGTTCTGAAATCTTATACCATTGCATGACTATTTACAATCAGCTATAAGGTTCCAGAACCTAAGATTTATATATATGTAATGGCCGAACATAGTTGTGAGTTCAAGACCAGTCTGGGCTACAAAGTGAGCTCAAGGCCAGCCTGAACTGCATAGGGAGACTCTGTCTCAAAAAGACTAAAAAAAAAAATATATATATATATGTATATAAATGTATGTATTTACAGTACTTACAGCCTTACTATAAGACATCCAGTCTTCATCAATCATCAACAGACTCTAGCCTGTTTCTACTGTTTTATGGAGAAAAAAAATAGGAAACGTACTTTTGGAAAGTCCTTTTATTGTTCCACCTTTTTATCAAAAAGTTTAATTAGTCAAAAAATTATTTTACCTTATACATCATATTTCTTTAAAGTTTTTATGTAAAGATGAGAGTTAATTTAGTAATAATTGCTGTGTACATATTACTTTGAATTTTGGACTTAAGAGTCTGAGCTGTCGTGTGTGTGAGAGTTCCAGGAATTTTCATTTGTAGATTCTTCATAATATGTCTTTATGAACAAAAGTCAGTAGTGCCTGGCACACTGGCTTTCAGTACATTTTTGTGGGATGAATGTGGTATGTTGAACTTTTAAGACAATTATCCACTAGCACAAAATGGTAAATATTAGAAAGCATATGTGCTGTGAAGCAAGCATTCAGGACAGTCAGTAGTTTCAGCCAGGAGAGAGCATTGCATGTTGCAGGGTTGGCGTTTCGTAGTCTGGATTTGAGACCTGGCTTACTACTTACCATCCATGCGGTCTTGGAGAACTTTATCTTGGAGACTCTCACTCTTTCTCCCATTGAAAAGGGCGAAAATAGAACATATTTCACAGGATTGTGTAGATTAAATAGAACAATTCCATTGACATACTATAAATGTCAGATATTACTATTTTTGCTTTTAAGTGGCAAGATTGTAGATTGGTAGAATCAGGGAAAATAGGTGACAGTTGGAGGTAGGGAGAAAAAGCTAAGATGATATACAGAGGGTGTGGTAGATAAATGCTCATACTAAAATGGAGTTTGGTGGAACAGTAGTGTGAGAGATAGCTGGAAAGGGGAGGAGCCCTGGTAAGCTGTTTATGAGATAGTCAACTTGGATCCTTGTAGATAGAACAGAATGTATGAAATAAGAACTACTGAGTTATTTTCTCCTTGGCTTCGTTTTTCTAGGTTTAGACCTGAAGAAGTTACTTGACTGAAGGAACTTAGTAGCAAATTGTCATGAAGTGCTAAAGTTCTTGTCACTTGACCCAGTAAGTCTCCTATTTTTTATTTTTTGGTTTATTGAGCCAGGGTCCCGTTATGTAGTTTAGGCTAGCCTTGAACTAGCCCAGCTTAACCTTCAACTGGCTGCATTCTCTTGCCTCAGCCTCTCAAGTGCTGGAATCACAAGTGTGTGCCATCACACCTGCCCACTTGACTGACCGAGTAAATCTCGTATCATTTCTTTAACTGATTAATTTGATCACCTCTTGTAATAGCTGGTTATCACAGTTTGTAATAGCTATGGGAAAATCTTAGCTACACACCAATAAATAACAAAACTGCCATCAAATCATGAAAAATACCCCATTTTATAATGACTGTAGAATGACAAAGATTAAATTGACTTGGAGAATGGTGAACTCTTTGTTCTTACCTTCTGTGGGAAGTGTTATAGAGAGTGAGACAAAGAACTTCCTTGGCAGATCTGCTTAGAAAAAGAAGACTGATATTTGGTACCTGAAATTTAATGTCTTTAAAAAAAAGTCAACCTGTTGGGGCCGGGGAGACGACTCAGTGGAATAAGTGCTTCCCTGGCAAGCGCAAGGGCCTGAGTTCAATCCCTAGTTCCACCAAAAAAAAAAAAAAAAAAAAAAAAAGTCGTTGGGTGACATGTTCCTGTTAAAAATGTCCAGTGGACTATACTTTTTTCTTTTTAAAATTTTTTATTTTTTAAATAAAAATATTTTTTTCCTAGTGTCATGTATATTTTTCTTCTTTGTTATTATCTTATTTTTGGGTTTTTTGGGAACAAAGTCTCACAGTGTAGTTCAGGCTATCCTTGAACTGCAGTTTTCCTGTCTCAGCCTCTCAATACTGGGATTACAGGGGTGCACACCATTATACCCATCAATGGTATATAGATTTTAAAAAGCTCATTGATTTTATTTAATGGGTTCAATGTTTTAAAATATGAAATATTCCAAACATACAGAAAAAATTATGATGATTTAGTATATGTACCACTAAACTCCTTTATCAGGTCTTAAGTTAGGATCATCATATTTACATTTAAAAAATATTTTTTAATTGTGTGCTGTCTTGTAAACATTAAAGATATAGTTAAAGCTAGTATGAATCCTGTCGTATTTCTCTTCATCTTGTCTAGCACTTCCCTTCTACTGTCATCAATTAGATAATTATTCCAGTTATATTTTTATGCTTTTATATCTGTCCGTGAAAGTACACGCATTTACTTAATATATATTTTAATGTACTTTATACATTATGTCTATCTATCTTGATTTGTTATTCAGCTTTTAAATCTTTCTCTTTTTGCTGTGCTGGAGATTGAATCCAGCATGTTAGGCAGACACTGTACTGCTGAGCTATACCCCTGTCATTCTGTTAACTTTGTTTCTCCTGGCACTGAGTATTGAATTTAGGGCCTGGCACGTGCTAGGCAAGTACTCTGCCACTGAGCTACATCCTCTGCCCTTTTTTTTTTTCTTGTATTTTAGGGAAGGGTCTACAGGGTCTACATTCTCCTGTTTACAGCCTCCCAAGAGCTGGGATTACAGGCACTCGCCACCAAGCCCAGTCTCAGTTGCCTTCTCAGCCTGCCCTGGGGGCTGGGCCAGCACAGCAGGCCTGTGGATCGAATCCCTGGGCCTCTGCAGCCACTTTAATCTGCTGAGCTATTTGGCCAGCCCAAAACATTTTTTTATATTTCTCTGGAATTAATCTCTTCTTCATTAGAGTTCTCTTTTGCAATTCCATTTCTTCATAAGTGTGGCATGTGAGATTTTAACTGTTCTGTTCCTGTTTTTTCTTCTTCGGTCAGTGGTAACAGCTCATTTTAAAAGTAGTAGCTTTCAGGTGTGATCATTCTCATCTGTAATCCTAGCACTCAGGAAGCTGAGGTAGGAGGATTCCATAAATTTAGAGCAGGCCTGAGGTGTATAGCAAGACCCTGTCTCCACATCTGTTTGCTTTTGTAGTTCTTCTATCATGGTCATAGTCTTATTCAAAGTAGTTATAAATGCAGCTCTTGTCTCTTTCTGTTCAATGGCAACAGGTTTAAAACGTGCAAAGTTTGGTATCGAGACTTTATTGCTGACAATTCCTTTAAGAGTGTTACTGGATTTTTCTCTCCTGAATCATGATTAGACTTGATTTCATATTCCAGCTATCAGTTCCAGCTTATCGATCTCTGCCTCCATGTTGAATAGTTGACATTCCTTAGACCCCTGGCAGTGCATAAGCTCTATTTTTGTTTTGAGACAAGGTCTCTGTAAATTGCCCAAGCTGGCCTGGAATTTGCAGTTCTTCCATCTTGAGTGGCTTCCAGTTTAGAGTTAATTAACTAATTGTTTTGAGACAAGGTCTCACAGTGTAGTTCAGCCAGGTCTTGCACTTACTATGTAGCCTGTGCTGGCCTCCAGTTTACAGCAGTCTCCCTGTCTGCCTCCTCAGTGCTGGGATTACAGGTGTGCACTACCATGTCCCTTCCAGCCACCATGGCCAGCCCAGTTCAGAATTTAATCTAGAATCATGAGTTAAATCTAGTTGTCATATCCTGGTTGGTTTTTGTTTTTTTGTTTTTTTTTTTTTTTTTTTTTTTTTCTTCCAGTGCTGGGGATAGATCCCAGGACCTCACTGGTGCTCTACCATTGAGCTGTATTCTTAGCTCTTTTAAATTTTTTTATTTTGAGATCGTGCCTGGTAAATGGCAGAGGCTGGCCCTGAGCTTGGAATGCCTCTCTGCCTTAGCCCCGTGAGGAGTGTTTACTTTCCCCCTTGTATCTAGCTGCTACCTGTTTTTTTTTTTTTAAGGAATATTCAGGAATCATTTCTAAAGCTGTGAAGAATTATATATGTTCTGAATGTAGAAAGTGATTTTTGAAAGAACTCAATAGTTCAAAGATATAGGTAATTCAATCTTTTAATATTTGTGTGTGTGCGCGCATATACTTCTTGCTTTTTTGTGAAGGGCAAGTATGTTATTGAAGGACTGGCATTATCACTGGTTTGCTTGGATTCTTAGCCACATGCGAGATGGAAAATAGACATGGAGTGTTTCTTGGTCCTGCGTGTGACCATCACTGTTGTCCACCTTCTTCAGGGTCCTCCAAAAGGGAAGACCCTGAAGAAGCCAGATTAATATTGCCCAATTCCCCAACAGCATTTGGATAGTTGCGGGGGGCATTGTAGGGACAGAGGCCCTATAGGTAGGGAAAATATAGGGTGAAGGCCTCATTGAGCTCTATTAAGTTAACAGAAAATCTATCTAAAGCAGCTTCTGACCTGCAGCTATATTTGAGCAATTAGCAAAACAAAGGCTAAGAAGACAGGCTTGGAGGTTACCAGAGAGCATGATTATTATAATAATCACAATTTCCCCTTTACATAATCCTTAAATCTAAACCACCTTTTCCTAAGGTAGGAATAATCTTATTCTCTTAACTGATAATCTTACTTTCCAGAAGGTTAAGGATAAAATCAAGCCAGGGAGGGGCTGGTAAGATGGCTCAGTGGTCTAAAGCACCTATTTGAACAAGCCTAGCAAAGCAAAGGGACCACGGTTCAATCCCCCAGCACCACATGCCAGCCAGCCGTGCCCTCTGGTGGCCTGAGCTGGCCACACACACACACATAAATAAATAAAAATTAAAAAAAAAAAAAAATCAAGCCAGGGAACCAGTCAGATTCCAGGAGCCACAGGGAGAAGGATCTCAATAAAAGGAGCGGTGGGGGCTGGTGAGATGGCTCAGTGGTCTAAAGCACCTACTTAGAACAAGCTCAGCAAAGCATAGGGACCACGGTTCAATCTCCCAGCACCACATGCCAGCCAGCCTGCCCCTTGGTGGGCTGAGCTGGCCACATACACATACACACACACACATATAAATAAATAAAATTAAAAAAAAATAAATAAAAAATAAAAGGAGCGGTGGACATGAAATCCATGAGCATCTTCCTTTCAGATACTTCCTACTAATCCAGAGTAGCTGTCTGCTACCCCCCACCCTCCTTTTTTTTTTTTTTTTGGTACCAGAGATTGAACTCAGTGTTTGCCAGGCAGCCACTTTCGCTGCTTAGCTATCTCCTTGGCCCTCCCCCACTTTTTATAATTTGTCTTTTATTTAAAAAGGGGTGTCTTTTATTTAAAAAACATGGTATGGGGCATGTTACCGACTAGCCAAGGTAATAGAAATCAACTAAGGGTTCTGATAGGTGTTTTTCAGGTGATCGGCGCAGCAGAGAAACAGGCAGAAGGAAAAAGGGAGGGGGCTTGATTTTCTTTGAGGATACAGGAGAGAATGTGGGGAAGGATGAGGAATTCTCTCTCCCAACTAGACAAAGGGAGGCCGAGCCTTTTATGGCCTTTTGCCTGGCGAGGGGTTTGAAGGGCATGTTGGCTGTACCTGAGGGAGCTGACTGGGGGGCTTCCCTGAGGCGGCGGGAAGATGGAAGGAAACTGTACCCTGAGCTGAGTTGGAGAAGAATGGGGAGGTGGTCTTGGGGAAGATGGGCTTTGTTTTAAGGGCTTCAGCCATATTAGATGACCACCATGATGGTTTTAGCAATTCGTACTAGGGCCAGAACCTATCAGGTTCATCTCAAAGTCATGAATTGGCAAGATGTAGCTCTTCTAGTATTGATAAACCATGAGGTTTAAGTCAAAACAGTGGCTAGGAACTGTTGGGGCTAGTGGCTGTCATCACTGAGACAGCACCCTGTCAGGCCTGAGGAACGGCTCCTGGCAGTGCTCAGTTGCTCTCTTGTTTTCTGCTGCTGTCTTAGATGTTAGCAGCTCAGACTGCTGGCTGCTTTTGGTAGTATCGACCTCTGATGTTAACCTCTTACTATGCAGGTCAGCATGTACTACTTGAGAGAGAAATATGAATACGTAGGAATATGCCATCCAGAAAGAGGCTTTATTAGGAATTATGCTACAGTATAAGGGAGAAGAGTACATAGACTCAGTCTGCTAAGTGTGTGAGCAGGTTGCTTCTTGGAAAAAGGTGAGCTCATGCATGTGCACTGT